GAATACTGGTAGGCCTGTGCCTAACGTTGGCTCAGATGTGCCCATGTCCAAAGAGAATACTGGTAGGCCTGTGCCTAACGTTGGCTCAGATGTGCCCATGTCCAAAGAGAATACTGGTAGGCCTGTGCCTAACGTTGGCTCAGATGTGCCCATGTCCAAAGTGAGTACTGGTAGGCCTGTGCCTAATGTTGGCTCAGATGTGCCCATGTCCAAAGAGAATACTGGTAGGTCTGTGCCTAAATTTGGCCCAAATGTGCCCATGTCCAAAGCAGGTCCTTGTAGGGCTGTCCTATGTCAATCCTGAAGGGGCTCTTTGATTGTTCTTCTTTTGTCGGCCAGAAGTTTAAAATATGGTCTGGAGGGTCACTGTCCTCCAGTATCTACTATAGTTGTTGTTGTATGATGTTGATGATATGGACCAGAAACGAACTTGCTATTTTTAGGTTCCTGGTCTAGAGGTAGTACCAAGTACCAAGAAAAATATTTTGTCTAGCGTTAGGTTAGATATGGTTCTGCTTTTGAAACTTGTGTATACTATATTAGTGTAAGAGTCCCGTTGCTCATAACAAAAACCGTTGATGTCGGTTTAAAGTGGGAGGTCCAATAATTAATGGATAATCTGACCCCTGGCCTCTTGGAACCTGGTTCTGTCTGTTCTGGTTCCATCTCAACTTTCACTTCAGCTTTTTCTTGTTCTGCTGACACAGACACCAGAACCAGGCTTAATTCCACTAGGTCCATCAGTGACCCTTGGTCTTTATCTTGTTTTTGGGCCAATGCTATATGGCTTCTGGTAGGTTCAGATCCATGCAGATGGGCCCCAGATATCACTATGAGGTGACGCTCTGATCCAGTTGTCATCCAACCTATTAGCCACGTTAGTCAGGATGTCCAACACTTCATCTGTACATTTCATATGATCCAACCACCTTCTCTGAATTCTTCTCTCAATGTATTATTCTGAACATGCAATGAACTGGATCCATTAGACTGGATGGATCTGCTGTGCTGATTCTGACCCATGAACTTGTGTAATAAAACTGGCCCCAAAAGTGTATCCAGTAAACCAAACTCTTTCTTTTAGCATTAGTGGTTTGCAGAGGTGGGAGATGTCGAGTCCACAAATCATCTCTATTCTATGTATTTATTCTGCCCAGCCACTCAACCAGGTGAGTCCAATTGGCACAATTTAATTCAATGGGCAGATTGGACTTGTTGGTTCAGTGGCTGGGCAGAACAAATACAGGGAATACAGATTATTTTTCGACTTCACATCTAGCATTTTTCTCCTGGTCACAGGATGTCAACACAACCCGGTACCATGTGGTCCTGGCAGAGCGCCTGTTGAAGACGGACCTTCAGCCTGGAGGATACAAGAAGACACTTCTGGGATTTCCCTTCCAGCTTGGAATCTACCCCCGGGACGGAAAGGTTTGCCTCATAACTCAATTCGATGGTTCCTAAAGCCTGAATGATTAATGAATCAGAATTTAGAGGCTCAGCTAAATAAAACATTCAGGTAAAAATTTACCAGTATGAGAGCACAACTGAAAGACAGTAGTAAAGCAGCCAAAGTCTCATTGATCTAGTCCACTTTAGATGGATTCTGGACTCCGTCTGCAGAGTTCGACATTTTCAAGACCTAAAAAATGTTCCGAGCTGGGAATCCCTTTGAAAATGTGCCCAGATTCATAAATTTGTTTCGGGTCTAGAATCTGTTCATTAAGAGTGGGGGCACCCTTCAGACATAGGAAATGGTCAGGTTCTGAGAAACAGCTGAAACAAAATAAAGCCATCAGAAAGAGAATCCGGTAGAGGTGGATTGTTTTTTCTTTTTTCATCCTCCAGCTGTTTGTGAATGACGCTCAGATCAACTCCTCCAACCTGTTGTGTGACAAGGGAGTCATCCATGGGCTGTCAGAGGTTCTGCTCATCGAGAGGAACCGCTGCGATAAACTCACATATAAAAAATTTCAGGTAAAACTTGGACCCACCGACACACACATACTAGAGGAACACCTCTGATCGTGTGAGGATGACAAACTCCTTTCTTCTCGCAGGGGCCATGTGGAGATTGTACTCGATCCATAAACCAGAGGTGTCCCAGTGGAACCATTGCTGATGTAAGATGTTCCTCTTTTTGTCAAAACAATTGGTGGATCTAAACATGAGCACAGTTTAGAAACGTTTCACAACCCAACGGGAACAGGACAACTGGTTCT